AAGTTGTGAACAAATTTATAACAGGGCGTCACCACCCACCAGTTCTACTCTGAGAACATTGCTATCAGATATAAATGAGACATCCACATTGTTATGAGACAGAGACTTAAATGACGCGGCCGTAGTTTGATGTGTGCATCTATGAGTGTGAAATGTGTAGACGTGTGAGTAACTAGAGAAGTAGTACCTAAATAAAATAAAAAAAAATAAATAGTAGATACACAGATACACAACAACTAGAATAATTTGTGGCGATTCAATATATAGGTACATATCGAGTCGTTGGGTAGATAAATGTATAGGTACCTATGTATTCAAGATGGGTCAAATTATATCTGGACCGACGACCGAGGTAGGTACATACCTACCTACCTAACCTAAATAGGTACATAACTATAAATAAACATTATCTATTGTAAAAAAAATGTATGTCTAGGGCACAGACAGAGCCCGTGGAGAACTATCATAAACACCTATTAGAAAATAAAATAGATACAAAACAAAAATAAAGTAGGTACACAACAGTACCAGTACCCATTACTTTACTTACAGTTACCTATGTTAGTAATTCATGTTGTGGAGGGCGAACATAATTATGTAGCATGGATCAACCACAATACGTCATGTCGGAAACAATACTGCCTGACATGGAGTAGGTACTTTCCGACCAGTACAAAATTTCATATTTTAACAGAGATTACAACACACGGACCTTTCTATTTACAAACCCTGAATGATCACACCTAAAACTTTGTGAATGGTTTTTAGTAGAGGTAAAACGGGGTGAATAGAATTCGAGGGGTGAATAGATACAGAAGAGGGCTGAATAAATATTGAGAAAATGTTCCATTATTTATTCACCCCATTCCTGTATCTATTCACCTCTCGAATTCTATTCGCCCCGTTTTACGGTAGCTAAGAATGATAATAAATATTTCTATTAGGCCATATAAATAGCATACATACTTTTAAGCTTTGTTATTAGAATGTGCTATGTGTCGAAAAAGGTATTATTGTAGTTTGTATTTTATGATAATTGATAACATTACTTATAGGTACTGTTTTAATAAGTACGTAAATAATAATTATGTACTGTAGGCCATTTTAAAATAATAAAAATATTATCAAATATTGACACCATCGTTAAGCATTACATGGAGGCTCTCGACTGGATATATTTTAAGAATTTATGTTTTGGTAAATGTGACATTATATTTTTATGTGTAGGTACCATAAAACTACAATTAATTGCACTAATGAATTATAATTACTTAAGAAATGTACCTAAATTGTATTAGTTTCAACCTAACAAAGTAAATATGTATTTAATCATTCATGCTCTGTAGCATGACTTATCCCGATGTGGGAGGCAGAATTGCGCATTGCATAAGCAATATAACAATTATTTTTCACCATTTACGTACGAGTCGAATGTAATAGTAGGTGAACCTAATAAAAGTTTTTCACACATTTTAGTCAATTTTCAAATAAGATATATAAAAATTACTTATATTGTTTATTAAATATTTCAAATGTATTCAATTGTGTAATATGTAATCTGTAAGTGTGTGGACCTTATGAACGAGTAGGTATTAAAAATTAGTCAACTGTGACAATCGGTGAACCCAGATAACCTTAGAGTTTTACCGTCCCGTGGGTTTTCCCAAATATTAAATTGATAGATAATAGAATTGTTTTATTTTATACAGTTTTAATAAAAAATAATGTTCAATTGATGTCTTATTAATGCGTTTCCCTACTCAGACGTACCAACAGGCAACAAGTTATGGAGACCACTGTTCTAGGACCAAAATATTTATGATACTTGACTTGCATCGACCTTCCAAGCACCCTAGTCGAGACACTTGAGACAACTGACTAAAATATGGACTAAGTTTGCACTTGTTGTACGTACTGGTCAGTGGTCTTCATAGTACTTACCATAGAATCAAACAGTTCCTCGTCTTCCGAGGACCCATCACCTCATCTCCAACCGCAACCGTGAAGGCATACTCTAACTTATTTACTATTTAATGTATAAATCGTGTTAGGGTTTAATTTGAGTGATTTCCGATTTTCAATTCTGTAATAACACACCATATTTCACATTCTCAGGCTTCAGGAAACACTTTTTACTGAAAGTTTGAAGATAATTCATCATACTTCCTTTTTAGCCCGTTCTTTTACTCCCGTTAATCATACTTCCTTTTTAGCCCGTTCTTGTAATTATATTGCAAAATAGAAGTGTGTGTGTACCCAATGTCTAAAACATAACATTTTACTGAGGGATTGTTCGTGTTCGTGGAATACGGACACAAATTAAGGGATTACAACGCGAGTAAGGTGGTGTACATTGTTTTAATCACAATTTTTAAAAATGTACAGGGCTGTATAAACATTTGGCATAGATAGTTGTCTAAAGAATACAATCGAAGATTTAAATAAAAATAAACTCTTATGATTAATCAAAGTTTGTAATTTCTGAAATGCTTAAATAATTTCACATTTTGTTTGGTTTTTTTCATATCCCAGAGGTTCTTTTAGGCACTGATTATATTTTACTGGTTCGCCAAATTCGTAGCTACACTGAAACTTTCGATGGTTAAGGAAGAAAAGAAGGTTCCCTTATCAGATCTCATATTTGTTAGCAGTTTAGCTTAAAAATACATCTGCTCGTGACAGGCGCCCGGGCGTAAATGTTTGGTTTAGTCCCATCTCTGCACCTTCCCATCCCGGCACCCATGAATTTATTTATCATACCTACGAAAACCTTCTCTCGGCGCTCTACCTTTATACTACTACTAATGCCACAAATATTAAGAAAATTAAAAATCAAAATAAGTATTGTTTACCATTTATAAAAACAAACATAATTCATTTAAATATAAATTGGTAGACAAAATAAATATGCTTTTAGAACTTTCACACGCATACGGGTGAATATCGCTCAATAAAGAGCTTATTCGGTCTGCTATGACAGTAACGTGACAAATCCTAAATATGACATATTAAAAATGTACATTTTGTATGAATGACAGGCCTGTGAAAGTTAATTTACTGAATATACTGATACTGTGTTTAAATTTTTATGCAAGTCATTATAAACAGTCTATAAGTTGCCACTGCTGACCAAAGGCGTCTTCTCGCACAGAGAAGGTTTGAACATTAACCACCACGCTTGCTCAAAGTGGATTGGCGATTTCAAACTTATAATTAGAAATAGGGTAGTTTTCTAAATTTCAATTTTAATGTCCGTCTGGTAGATTAATTTAAAAATATTACACACGTACTTTTTTACACAAAATTAAATACTTTCGACGATATATTAATTTGAAATATCGTTTCACGTCACAATGTGCTACATTTTGTAATACTTTGTGACATAACGATCTCCCACTCCTAAACTTAACTCCATTTTATCTAATTATTGTAACTTTATACGAGAAAATAAAAAAAAATCGTGTCTAATATTTTTCATTATCGAAATTACGGACTAATTAGATTTTTAATTTTCATACCGTGGCATAGTTGTCAGGTGGCATATGGTAGTCCCTATTATAAGCCCAGGTTTCCTCACGATGTTTTCCTTCGCCGTTTGTCAGTGGTGTCTAGACAATATTAGAAAGTACATATAACTCGGAAAAGGTCACATTGGTACTTGCCGTTGGTAGGTTTCGAACCCGCACCTCTCATGCATGAGAAGCGAGCATCTTAAACCTCCGGGCCACCACGACATTACACCGCTTGACCTCCTCCTCTTAAATTCTTTGGTTGAATAAAGTATGTAAGTACCTAACAATGGTTAACGGTGTATGCCCACTGTAGGCATGAAATATTTATTAATGAATGTCGAGACGAAAATGTGCCGAGGTGGGACTAAACCAAATGTTTAAGACTAGTTTATAATAATACCTATACCCGAAATGATCCGGGGCTTAAGTTCCATACACTACAACATCAAATATTTCGATTATTTATTACATTATTTTCACTATGACTATTATATTGGTTACATGGGCATACATATTATTATATTTGATACAGTATAATAAAGACTGGTTTTAAGCGTAAAGCATATAACGTTTGTTCAAAATTCCTATTTTCTTTGGGATTACATATTAAAAAAGCGTAAGCACTTAATAGTACTCGTAAATAGTTTTGGGCGACAATTTGACACCGTAGAGTCGCACAATCAGAAAGTGGCCGACGCCGTACTAACTATGTACATATTTCCAATAAACAAGATCCGCACAGATACTATAGCTACATACCGATTACTTATTGATGATACCGTATAAATAGCAACGAATAGATGTAACATACTTGAGTAATTATTGCTCTCAGAAAAGATGCAAGTTCTAAACAATTAGATTACTATGACTTATATATTAAATACAACTATGATCTACGTGATCACGCGGCTGAACTTTCGAGATGTCAAATTGTCATCGTCATTAATGTCTATCATATCCGTTATTACAAAGATTATTACTAAACACCCAAGTAAAAATAGTGAGAACGTCATGATGCTAGCCGAACGGGGTGCAATCACTGCTCCTGTGATGTCCACTTCTTTATATTATTGCTGTCGATTTCGGAGGAGACCCCCTATTAAACTTCATTACTTCTCACAGATGCAGATACATACAAAAAGGATTTAGAGCACTGAGAATGACTTAAATTTTTTATAGATTAGGATTATACAAATTATGCTTAGTCAAGTAGTAGACAGTAGTAAGGCAACTCGACACGGGTATTTAGTGTATTATAAACGGACAAAATCAAGGTCGGACGGTCTTTGTTTAGTTCAGGGAGTACCACAAAACTCGATTTGCTAAGGGTCCTTTATATCCTGCATTATCATAGGAAGAAGCGCGAAGTTGTCATCGTCGCTCCCTAATCAGAAACCTGACTTAAAAATCCAAATGAAGTTAGCAGCACATGCATGTGGATAAAACAATACATAAATTTTAGAAAAACCCATACTGTAAATCAAATTACCTATTTTCTGTCAAGTGATTTTATCAGATGTACAATTCACAATTCATTAAAAAGATACGAAATTGTATTCCTACTGCGTAACATTAGCAATCTGCGTATTGTCAGGCTAAAAAAATATTAAAATTCATTAAATGGTTTCTTTTCTACAGGAAAAAGAATTCAAACTAAGCTCACATGATTATTTAATCCCGTCATCATGAAATAGATGATTTTGAATAAATGTTTTATTATCATAAAGTCTTTTATAAATATTTTTAATTATCTTTTATTCGCAACCCAACGATTCTATAACCCCGCCCTGAAAATCAAATCAGTTACAGTTTTGTAACTGAGTAACCAGAAAAGTCTATTCAATATTATGTATAAATATTTTATAAATGATTTGGACAAATATGTTGTTTTCTATTAGAATCACTTGCAAATGAGTTGCATTGCTGGTGTTCGTGAAACTGGCCCTTAAAGTTATATTAACTAGAGAGTGGCATGTACAGAAGCAGGTTCCCTACACCCCGTAAACTATCCTGGAGACAACATCAAACCGTAACATGTATACACTAATGTGCACTAGTTCACGAAAGCTGATTGGCGCTCCGTAAGTTTGAATGAACACAATATGTTATTGCTTAATCGAATGTCAGTTCAAAAGAGTTTCTATTAAAAATGAATTCAGAAATGCTGATATTTGGTATTATTAAGTCGTTCATAGATTTGATGGTAGATAAAAACATGGATATAGCAGTGTCGGTGGAAAAAAATACGACAGTAACAAACTAAGTGGCCATAACAAGACATAGATAAGCATATTGGAAGACTTATAGAATCGATGACTGAAGCTTTCTTACTGTAAAAATATTACAAAATATTTCTCCGAAATGACGATCAAAATTGTGACATAATCGGTGTTTTCTTGTTTTACAACAGCCTCCCACTTCAAGTATCAGTTTGGTCAGTGGCTGCACAAAGTGAGCTGTTAATGTAAGTCTATAAATTCACGGTGTATATTACAATCATAATTTAACGGGCTTTTGTCCAAACCAAGCTAAGTTGCGGCCAGGCCGTAGCAGCGGAGTATAAAATGTCGACCGTATAAGTCGCAAACAACCATAAGTTATTGCGTTCAGAACTTTAATATACACACGTAACAAAAGTCCTTTCAAACTCACAGCCAAGTCATCACTTTGAAAATAAAGTTCATACTGTCTAAACCTCATTTTTTTGAAACTGACATCGTGCCTACCAGCCGTTTAATTTAATATCTGCCAATATCAAATCTAAGAACGATGCCGATCATAAAAATAACTATACAAAATTTTGATAACAAACATTGTTAACTTTTTATATCATTAAATGATATAATTGCTTCTTGCAATTTCACGTAAGTTATAATTATATGTGGTTTATCTAGCGATACTAATAATAAGCAATTTTGCCTGCCCCATGTAATGCAGGAAATTTCTATACCTGAAGTTTCATTTCACTGCGCGCAAGTTCAGTATCGCTAGCCTACACTTATCAATATGATTTGACAGATACAAATATTTATGTTTTTATGATAAGTTTATTGCGATTTCCAAATTGGAACAATGTTTATAAATTTCGGTAACAAAATTAATACATTTAACAAAAGATGGTGATGAGGCTCAAACATTTCATCTAAGGCATCTTAAAAATTTAATAATCCATAATTATATCCTTGTTTGTTATAGCTATCACAGGGTCATAAGTCCTTAAGGGAGACGTGGTGTTTACCATTATATCTAACAATAATCACGAGGTAAAACTATGCATGTACTATAGTTTTATTGTTATGTGCGTTTAGTCAGGCGAGATTTTATATAATAGCTTGTTATCCATACTATTACACGACGTCAATGCAGAGTGAGTGCTTAAGCACATTTAGATTGAAGTAAAAATACGAAGCACATGACTCGACTTGCAACACACCACGCAGAACAAATAAGCTGTATTCTATAGATGTATTCTATTACATATTTTTAAAGTCGGCTGTGTTTGTAAACAAGATTTTATTTTATATATTTTTTTTTTATAATATAGAATACAACTCACTTGTACACATAGTTGTTGCAAGTTCCGTATGTGAATCTATAGATCGATTGCCGTTACAATGATAGGGATGGCAATGGATACACGTAACAAAATCAAAAACTAAAACTTTCAAAGCAAAAATAATATAGATAATAAGTAAAATTAACATAACCAATTAAATAACACTACCAAAATAAACCTGCATCACGAAAAATCTAATGTCAATTTTAATACTAAGAATTTAACTTTGATATTATTGATAAAACTATAATAATATAGGAACCAGTATAACCAATGTCTTGTTAAACTAATAGTCTCATCTTATTGCTTCGACACATGGTTTCCTTAGCATGGGGGGTCCCTAACCTTTTTTAAGTTTCTTGACTATTTTACAATGTGAAGGACAATAAACGTAATCGAAGCTTATCGCAGTTATTTTCATTGCAAGTTTTGATATATTATATAAAGCAACATAAATAAAATATATAATTATATCGATCCAATGAGATCCCTATCATCAATCACAGTTTTACTCGCGTTTGTAGAGTAATTCAAAACATAACAATAATTATTTGAATCATATTTCTCACAATGAGTATTATGTACAAAATAAGTTCGCCATCGACAAGCCGCAAACATATTCAATATATAATGCATCATTATTTGTAACACATAGAATTGCTTTATTGCTTGGAATCGCTACAAGTAACACAACATTATGTAATTGTAGCGTATACAAGTGTTGAAGCGCACTTCATGGTAGTAAGGGTGTTTCTTCTCAATTCCTGGACAGTTTCCAGTACATTTTATTCAGATATTGACAAATTGAGAAGCAGCTAACAATAAATTTAGTTATTATTATTAGTTTACATCCAAATTAGTACCCTAACCACTTTACAAACAAATAAGTAGGTACGTCGTTGTTAGATTGATATAATATATGTACAAAGGAGGTAGTTACATAATTTAGAAAACGTTATTGCTGTATGTTAGGTCATAGCGACATTAAAGTAGATCGCTACATCACATCACTTTAGAGATGTTCTGAACTTACCTACACTAATAAGTTGTTACATTATATATTAAAATAGAATGCAGACTGAGATATCTTTGATTTCATAATTTAATAAACTAAAAATTTAAATCAAATACATTTCTCCTGAAAACATTCATTTGTTACAAACCTATGGCCACAATGAACACTTGGGTCCACATCAATTAGCCGATCAAAATAATCTAATACCAATAAGTATTACTGTTATAAATATTTTAAGTCAGTCTTTGGTTCCATTCCAGTTCATTGCATAAATGCTTTTCCGATTAACAATGAATATTTTGTTCGTTAATTAAGGTTAGCCATCATCACAATAGCACAGTGCACGACACATATCATATGAAGCGCATACGTGACGAGCGGGGATCGCATAATACTAAGAGACTAGCACTGTCCTGTGAGGACAACATCTTATCTTTTTATTGCACAACAAATTTTCATCATCACAGTATGTTTCGCATAAAGAGATCTACTAAACGTAACAACAACCGCAACAACGTGTATCAAATGTCCATCAATTTATTACATTACTTCATCACGCACCTTACTTATACAGTTCACTTAGACACACTAAGCTTCGACGAAAATCTATTTCCAGCTGACAGACAGTGTATGCAACATTCATGTTATAACCATTACCTGATGATACTTCATTGACAATGGATTCACACACTAGCCGGGTTCATTTGATTATGAGCATTTTATACACATTATACCTAGCTTCTATAAAATATTTACATTGTTTTCGATGCCAATCCCAATACAGCGAACAGTTAATAATCAGATGGTTAGCTGTTCGGTGCTCACGTCAACTTCATGTGGCATGTGTCGCGACAACGCGGACAAATACATATTGAACTTGGCAAACCATAACATTTACATTGGCCAAGGAATGGTGCAAACGGAATTTTGAACAACGTCTCTATGCGAAAAAGAACCTCTTACATAAATAAACTGAAAATAAGCAACGCAAATTGGTTTGATTAATTGATATGTACCTTGCTTATTGATGTTATACAAACATATTTACGCGTATTTGATCTGTATTAATGACAGCTGACAATAATTTATTGTTTTCACCTAGAATTAGTAAAAATAACAAAACAATTTCCTAAATGCTGCTAAAGAAAAGAGGATAAGTCAGTCTCTCATGAATACAATGAAAAAATTTGAAGTGGAAAATCAAACCATTAAGATGTTTACCTACATGGTTGAGGCCTTAGTGCTGATGTCTTGATCTTACTCAGCTAGTTGTTCTGAAAGAATAAAATAATTATAATATTAAAATATACAATTTAATTTTAAAATAAAGCTAACATGGGTAGGTACAGAACAACCATAGTCTAATTCACATCAGAAGGGTCTACTGACATTTTATGCAGATATTTTTTGCAAAAATAGTAAATATACCAGAATTAACAAACCCCAGTAGATAAACATTTTAAAACTTTAGATTTAAGCATGCAGAGATGGTTGTGATTTTGTGGCACACAAAACTGTTTTGATATAATTTATGACCAAAATATGACCCTTGATATTGCGCAGGTACCAAATCCTGCACAACCCAAATTCCCAATCCCCAAAAGGCCGGCAACGCACTACCAACTCACTTGGTGTTTGGAGTGTCTATAGGGGATATGGATTGCTTACTATTAGGTGATCCATCGGCTCGTTTGCCGCCCTATGCCATAAAACAGGTAGTTAAAATATGATTAGTTACCTGCAACAGGTCGCCGTGGGCGGAAACCACGAGTACCATCAGGACCACGAGGGGCGCGCAATACGACTACCCGTGGTCCACTAGAATCCTCGAGCGAGGCTGTACGGAGCCGCGCCAACAAACGCTCCGGGCGTTCGCACCTGGCCTTGCCCCCAGCAAAACCTTTGCCACTGTAATTTGAAAATAGTATTTTAACAATATGACACACCATTCAATTTATTATTTGAACAAATATTATTTATTAACCTTTGTATTTTAAGCTTATCCACATAATTAAACGTTAACTAAATCTTAATTATAGCAAAGGTAAGATTCACTCACCCAATTCTTACGACGTTGCAAGCGGACGACTTGCCATTCCTAGGGTTGGTCAGCATTACAAATTCGACCACATCACCGGGTTGTAGATCTGCAGGATTGCCACGGACTTCTGACATGTGGAAAAATAGGCGACGATTATCCTCGGCCTCCAGGGAGAGGAAACCAAATCCACCTGGAAATACGACAGGCAATTAAATAGGTGCATCGCAGAAAATTGCCTGATTCCCTCAACGGTGCCAGCAAACATATTTTTGGAGGTTACAATTCCTTTTGGTTACCTTTAATAGCGTCAACAGTGGCACGCCTCTTCTTCCTAATTGGCACAATGTTTGTAGCTCGGCCCTCTACGTCGGCCTGGAAAGTGACTGGGTCGCCGACCTGTAGTATTTCACGCTTGCACGCCAAGCCCATTATACCGAACTCGTACGAGGTGCCACCTTCTACTTGAATCAATCCTGCGGAAAAATATTCTACTATTATAAATACACTAGTAAACCCAGCGAACTCTGTTTCACCACAGATAACTTCGTTTTATGTAACATTTCGTTTGGTGATTAAAAGATGAAGACTGTTTTATATTTTATAAACCTGACGAAGCCTGGAAATCGGTTCGTGCGTTGTGGAGTTATAGCGTCAGGAAGGAAATTACTTATTTTTATATAGTAGATATTTACTAACACTTAGTTTCTGAAGGAGTTGTCAGATCAATAATCAGCTAACATGTGTCAGAAAGCAGTGTCCTAATTAAACGATTTATAACTTCATTTCATAGGAATCTCGAAGCCACCACCTTTCTCATATGGAATCAAGAAGGTGACACATGATCATACTCAAATCAACTAACAAAGAAGTCAGTATTCTGCGTTAATACTGTTTAATTACGTACTTTAATGGTAATAAGCAAACAACTAATCTATACTCGGAATTTTAATTCGATTCCAGATTTGACAATTTCAGTGTTGCAACGTTATGACAAGTACTAAATAGTGACGTTGCGAAATTATTCGATATGGAAATGCAATATTTCTGGATCGATTCTTCTCGTTTATAATTTTACTTTCGTAAACTAAGTATATCAGGAAATTAAATATTTCTGAACCGATAATTTAGTTCTGACGATTAATAAACGATCTGAAACTTTTCTTTTATAATTGTGTGTGAAATAAATAAAGAAATGTAATCATGAAGGAACATGACAAATAAAACAGATAGATGTATTATGGTAATAAGTTATTTTATAATTTGTCGCCGTCACCGCTATCGCTATCCTGTCACTTTCTGTAACATTTATTATAAAACACACACACACTGATTGTTTATCGATTTTTGTCTTCATCACCACACTATTAAATGTGGTATCATTATTTCACAAAATGACATGAAATTCTGACTATAGTTACCGACAAATTACATCATAATAATCCACTCAAAGAAAAACAAACGACAAACAAAAACGACTTTCCTACATAAAAAAGCGCGATCGCCTTGTAAATTCTTGACTAATTGCTCATCACTACGATTCTAGTAACTTAGAATATCAAATGCCAATACATGGTGTTCTAAAACATAATTATTGGTTAAGTATATCTCACGAAAGTTATAATCAATTATCACCTAGCTACCCAATTGAGACTTTTAAGATATTTAAGAAGTTATTAAGAAACCGGGTATAAGAATGCCCATTTGTCTCAATATTATTATAATAATATATTTTCAACTTGATCATTAATTACTACTTACTACCATTGTCTTTCAACTAAATTCAAATATAAAATACAATACATCTGACATGGGTTGCATCTAGAATGGAACACAGTCAAATCCATAGAAATGATGGTAGCTGACTACCACACTAATCGCAATAATTGAATGAAGTGACATCCACTTCACACCCATGTCCCCTAGTTGTAACTAATAAACTCGGCACAACATACTTTAATGCAATATGTTACTGGGGGTCTGATACATTATAATTCACTCCACTTGTGTATTCTCGTCTGCCCGGAGCCTACCTTAACCATTATAATAATCTTACATAAGTATCTGTTACTTGTTACTTACCGCAGTAGTGAGCTTGGTCAGGATTCAATGCCCGCAAAGTCCTGGTGACTGTTCCGTTGAGTGTAGGGTCAAGCGGCTTCGCGATGGGTACAGAGCCGCGTGGTAACACCCGCACGTACTCAGCACTCGCGCACCCTCCTCCAGACCCGTTCACTCGTCCCAAGGTATACTCCACCTCACAGCCTAGTTCCAGACCATCTGGATTGCCTTCCAAATTACTGTAAGCAATACAACTACAATTATTTTTCCAAACTTTGGATATTGGTCTACTTGAATTCATTTATAGGTATACAAAATGAAAACTGCGACGCCATATTTTACGCGTCAGTAACAAATATGTCATATTATATGTTATAGTATTAATATACCGGGCTTTTTATAAACTTTCGCAAAACAAAAAATAGATTAAAGACCATTTTGGCATGAGGTAAGCGAGCAGCAAAAGCATAGGCTTTTGGTATGATGCGCAAAGCAAAGTAGTAGCATAGAATACAATTCTTTGAATGTTAACTGATACTGATAACGTACGGTTTCTTGCATAATACAAATATACTCACAATAGCACTATCTATAAATAAATTGAAATGAGACAATATTTACTTGACTGGGGATTCCATATACCCTCGCGCCTCCGCGTTGCCTCTTTCGCGAATACAATAACATCTTAACACTGCTAGTTTGCTAATTAATGATAGTCAAACAAAATTGAGAATAAATCGCAAAATAAAATCATGAAATTTCAGCAACCAGAATAATAAGTTTACCACCCATAATGAAATACTATTTTGGCACTTGTCCTTTACTGAAAAGATAATTTTGTATTTTGTGACAGTCTCGTTAGTCGAGGCGTCACAAGCGAACAAAAGGACCTCAAGTACGATTTCCAGATATTTCGATACTTCAAAAATAAATATCTCAATAATTTTAGAATACTCAGAATATAACAAGTTTTACAAAAATAAGTTTTTCAACTCAATAAAAGATTTTTCTTTGACAAGTACCCCGTATCTAAGTAATAAATTCTGGGTTCATATCGATAACAAATTCGCTTGACCAGTCGTACTGACCGTACAATTGAATTACAATTGAATAAACAGCAGCATCACTTGACATAAGAGTCACTTGGTGTAACATTACGACAAGACGTTTCCGATGTATTTATTGATCAGACAATGCAGACTGCGATTCGAGTATGACGTAGATACTTTGGCAGTTAAAAGTGAATAATGTTTTTAAGTTCACTGTTTAACACTTTTGGCAATGTTTCTAAATCAGATTGACTTGATTAGATTTTCTGTATTAAACAAACAACCAAAACGTGGTTGCCAGACCAAATTTACCTCCCTTTTGCAGTAGATTTTAAGAAAATTCTTACATAATTTTGTCTTATCACCAAATAAACTACAGGAAAGTGCTCAGCAGTCACAGCATTTAGCAAACCAGACAATATACCGTTTGGACATTTTGAATATGAATTTCAAAACAATCGCTTAGCGAGTGATAACATCAATTTGATTCGCCGAGGGCTATGCAAGTACGAGCGAGCAAACGAACGAACGATCAAACAAAATTAATACGCAACTCCCATATTAGCATTACAATGAGCATGCAAATAAGTATGGTATTATTTTTGAGTGTACCTACATGAAAGGATCTTTAAAAGAGTTACTATAGGAAATCGTCAACATGGAATGAAGATATGCGGAGGAGCTCCGTTAGTTCGGAAATATATGCGCATGAATTTCTAAAAATCGTTGATCTTTGTGACCCACAAACTTTATGTACTTAACATAATATTACGTGCAGACAGGAAAAGATAAAATTTTCCATACTGCAAGATTAGTCTTTATAACATATAAGTTTACGATTTCATAATGATAAGTCTAAACACAAATAAACATAAACTCGATTTTTGGGTTTGTTAAACCAAAAAAAATGTAATCTATGACAGAGAAACTGTCTTTTCAGAAGCAGTGATTTCTGATATCGTAACTAATTAAATATTGAAAGTGGTAAAGTGCTGACATGTTATTCTTTCACTTTAGAAATATTGAACCTAATTTAAACTAAATTTTAATGTAAAAATAAAACTTGATGAAACACATATTGAGTTTGAATCGAGTATGTAAATCTATTTCAACGCAAGCAATGAAGTGTGATATTATGTCAGAAATTGAGCCGTGTTAAACAAAGTAGACAAACAATACACTACAACTCACCTAAAATGAAAGAATACTTCTTTTGTATGGTCCGAGGTTTCAATGAAACCGAATCCATCTTTGAGAGCAGCAATAAAGCCTTGCATGAGAGGCCGATTGCCGGCGCCATTGTTGTTATTCCCGTTGGTGAGACTGTGCTGTACTTGTACTGACTTAGCCACCAACTCTTTTGTCCGTTTTATCTGTTAACAATTATCAAGTATCACAGTTATTTGAGTCATAACGAATTTTTTACTTGATCCAAAGCTAAGTAATTATTTAGTTTTGCCCGATTGCATCAATATATAAAAATAGACAAATATTATGCAGTAGAAAGTTTTTTTTTTTATATACAAGTACACACCTGGTATAAGTCAAAAGTAACTACATCGCCATTACGCGGGAGCATTTTGGATTCACATGTTTTCGCTGAGAATGGGATGGATTTCTTAGTCTGTTGGTTTACTTGCCAACTAATCAAGCCATTGTATTCCTGTATAAAGACATAAATATTAGTATCATAGAAATATCAAATAAATTAATTACAGTCAAATTATTAACATAAAGTAAATGTTTAATGCCATACGGTAATTTAAAGCCTACTTGTACTTTGAAGCAAACAAGTATGTATGTACCATGCCATTCATAACTAAGAAACTTAGTTGCACCAAATTGTCATATTTAAGTGTTTCTTGTGGAGGGGAGATCTAACATCAATTCCTACATACCAACAAGGAGCATGCATGTACCAACAGGTTTATCACGACCATCGAAATACATACATCCAGTACGCGAACTTGTCATGTTATTGTTTTACAACAGTCACCATTTTAGGTGTATTTGCGAACATACCATACAAATTTTGGATAAGTTAATAAACTTACCAATTTACAAAGCCTTCGAAGATTACGCAAAAGCGTTTGTTGTTTATTCAGTTTCCGTTTTTGCAGCTTTGGAAAATTCAACAGACAAAACGGATAGAACCAAGTTTATGAAACTATCGAATGTCCCGAATCACAGAACAAATATAATTAAACAAGAAATATCATTTGTTCATTCAACGAGACTTAAAAATCAAAGTAAAATTATCATTAAATAATGAAATTTTACTTGAAAATAATATATTTAATATATACTTGCTTATGGATAAGACACCGACATTAATTGAATAATATTTCAGACAAAATCATTAAGTCAGTAATGTATATAAATAAAATCAATGACATTTATAGAATTTGATAAATTATAAATTTATAAATATCAATACGATTTTAAGAGATATACTCATAAAATATATAGATATGATAGATGTGTAATTTTGTGGACCTTTAGTCAAACATTTAACCTACAAGTTACAAAATTATTTCATCAGCATATCCACATGCTGAATATGGGTTTTAGGCAGTAAATATAACAAATTTAGTATAGGCAGATTTCTCCCCATATTTAAGAAACTATCTTTTCCTGGTCTCTTAAAGAAATAGAATTGGTTAATATTTACAATTTGCACCACACTGAACAAAGTCAAAACCTGTTGTAAAAGGATACTAAAACTCAGACTTTAAATTACACAGTACTTGTGCGGGATCTTCTAATAAATCAAACAAACCGCTAGATTGAAAGATGCATTGATGCATGATAATGGGTAAAATGAAGAATCACGATTCACGAATTTAGAGGGGAGAAATTATTATATCTAATGGTTGCAAAATCAAATATTGGGCAAAAGATGAAAATGTATGAGATACGAAGCCATGAAATGGTTTATGAAGTACGAAATAATTGTGGGATGGATACAAGACAATGACAGATTTAAAATAGAAATACTTACATAGTAAATATAATAATACAATATATTATTGTTATGAAACTCGTACAATGCAGTGTACTTACCGATGGAGGGGGGCGAGACGGGCTAGAAGTGGAAGACGGATAAAGCTGAGCCTCCTTCGTGACAACGCCGCGGGCGCCATGCTCAATCAGAGTTTCGAACTTCACAGTTCCAGGAGGGAGATGCTTGATGCGGATGCCAGATTGGCGATTGTTCATATTCGAGAATGTGCTCAATGGGTCTACTGTAAACTCCACCTGCAAAGAGAATGTTTGTTTTAATGAATAAACTAAGAAATTTGGTAAATTTTAACTGTAATAGTAGTAACCACTTACCTCATCACCGACACTGAGTTCTTGACCAAGACGTAGCACTTCAGCGAAGTGAAAGAACATAGTGTGTTCCCTCTCAACACACCGAATAAATCCGAATCCGTCTCTCAAAGAGCACACTACTCCTTGCTCCCTCCTGTTTATGCATATAAGGTTAGTTAAGTAATAATCACAATCAGTATTATAAAGCAACATTTGTTAATATTGTACTGTATACTGAAGCAGGAACTGTTCTCACCGTTCACCAGAAACATTGAATGATTCATCTAACAATGAGATGTTTGTGGCACGTTTCAATTGATCCCTGCGATCTGTGGCGACTTGAAACTGGACCCAATCCCCGTGGCGCAGAGTGAACTCGCCACATTGGTCCTTGTCACCAAAAGGTACCTAAGCAGACAAGACTTCTAATTACCACATTTGAATACACCTGTATAATGCTAGAAGCTATAATTTTTTCACTATATAATTCACGTAGAATTAAATACTAATATTTTTTTATCCAGAGCATAGTGGCGTAGTTCGGTAAATCGAAAAAGGGAGAACTCCAACATCCTAAGCTGGCCAGCCAGACCAAGCAGGTCCTCAACGGATCAAAAGGCGGAAACAACAGGAACTTTAAACGAAATGTACCTATTTATTTATCACAAAATTAATTCTGTTTACTATATATATTAATTCTCCTTACATATAAAGTTCTACATTAAATTCATGTCACCACGCTATCCGGTGAATATGTACTTTGTTATACGAATTCGTCGAAAAACGATAGACTCTACAATAGGATTTTCAGACGCTCACATACACATGACACCCAGACGCCGAACAACAATTTGTGGATCACACAGAGTTGCTCTGTTTGGGAATCGAATCCGCGACATGTTGCGCGACAGCCAGCGCACCATCCGTGCCATCAATATTTTACTGGGACTGGCTGATATTTCTTTAAATATTCAAAGCAGAATACAATTTATGTATAACTGTATTAGCGACAAAAATAATAGCCACCTAGAAATGTCCTAACGCAAAAATATTGAAAGATATGACGTGAAGGACTACGTAATGCCTGAGCGCGTGTGTGATTTATTTCCTACTCATATCCAGCTCATATCCCACACAACAAAGACAAGTGAGATTGCGAATTTCAAACGAAATAAACATTTCTGTATTAAAATTGTCGTTACTTTCGGTAAAATATACGTTTTGCACCTGTACCTAAATCAATACTGGAATTAGTTAAATGCTGTTCTAAAATTCCAATTTTAGTTATTCAATTTAAAATCAGCAGGATAATTTAGGTGAATTATTACAAGAAACAAAACTGAAATATCTCCAGGAAAGGCCGCGACGTCACTTTATTAAAGATTCTGACGATATAACTGTCGTTATTATTGGATTAATGGATTGGGTCAGTATTTTCTAGTAATTATTTTGAAAAATTTAGAGTTTAGACCAATGTCTAAACTCGAATCTTTCGAAGAATTTTTAACATTGTCGTTCTCGTTTTGTAAATAACAACCGGTGTGCGACGTGCGACTGCCGGGCAAGGGGTCTCGGGTTCGATTCCCGGGTCGTGAAAAGTATTACTAGGTTTTTTAAGAAAATTCAGTAGTAGCACAGAGTCTGGAATTGTACCCGGTATATGGTAACAGCCTCACCCCCTATTACATGGACTCATAACTTCAATAGTGAAAAGTTTAAGTACAATGGCATTAAGTGCCGTCATGTGCACCTCTGCCTACCTCTTCGGGGACAAAAGGCGTGATGTTATATACAATTGGTACCTCTACTTCAGAGTGGTCAGCTGCCCGATATCTGATGCGGCCAGGCAGAGGATCGTTCTGAGCCACGCGCACCAAGCTCCCGCGTTCCAATGGCTTCAACACTTGTCCGCGCATTATCTCCGGACTAACATCCTCAAACACGACGGAACCGCTCGGCAACTTCGTTATGTTACAAGCCACTTCCTTTCCCTATACAAGAAAGGTAAACATTAACAAAAAACACAGTTTCAGTAGTAAAAACAATCTTATAGGTATATATTGTCTTACGTTTCTAGTTTGAATGATGAATTCTACATCATCTCCCAAGACCAGCTCTTCTTTAGTCTTAGCTTCCGAATAATGGAAGAATATCTCTTTCACTACATCTGCACGTTCAATGAATCCGAAGTTTTCCTTCATGGAACAAACCACTCCATGATATTTGACAGGATGCACAGGATTTTCAAAGCGGACATGGCACGCTCCCAACGTACCACTACAATATTATCACTGTTATTAGACACATCTAATATCAAATGTAATCATTGTCATTGTCATAGACATCGCACTCACCGCTGATTAGTTGCTATCTGGAAACTGACAGCGTCTCCAGTGCGCAGAGTGACATTACCCTCAACGTCGTCTTTAGTATAAGGTAAAAAGAAACATTCACCACGATTTTCATACGAAATTCTTCCAGTATTGTCCCCAGAGCCTTCTCCCTTTACTTCTGTAGTTACTGTCCCAGTTACACGGGCTTCACTCAACACCTAAAATGAAATAAAACAAATACAAAATGCTTCTTTCATTGCCATAACATAAAATACTAGTAAAGTATATTACCACTTCAGGTGCAATCTTAGTCACCGTTGAAGCTATTGGCTTTCCAGTGCGACGATCGTATGTCATCTCGAACTCCACAGGGTCTCCTATCTTCAGATGTTCAGTATTGCCGCTAAACTGGCTGAAGTGAAAGAAGAGACGGGCCTGTCTCTCACAGCACTGAATAAATCCATAGGAGTGCAGAAGCTTTTCAATAATGCCTGTCTCTCTAATAGGTGGGTGATTCATTGAGTCATATTGTTGAGACGAAGAATTGTTAGTAGAGCCAGAAGAATAAACCGAGTCGCCCATTGGACAGCCGTCAATATTGTAACCCAGAGAGAAGCGGTTGCCACCACCAGTCTTTGATTGACCGTTGTAATTATCCCTTGGTGAACTTGGATACTCACCTAATAACAAAAAAAAAATGGTTTATAATTATGTTTTTATAAATGATGTCTTTCCTAGGATACACTTATGGTTAGCAATTTCTACTTCAAAATCCTAAAATTACAGCAAAGCTAAACTACCTACTATTACTGTGTTAATAAATCATAATAATATGGCATAGGTAATTATCGAGGAATAACATGAGAATCAATACTCGGGTCGATGATTTAACTCATAATAATATGAATACCAGTAAGTCATTAAAGCAGGCACTAATCTAAGAAATGGAACTAAAATAGTTGTAATTGTAATAGTATTATATAATTCATAATTATTCTTGTTTTAAATATGAAGTTCTAATCAATAATTAAGACATTCAAAAGTTAAGTATTTGAATTTAAGCAGAGTCCCTCAACAAACAAATATACATAATAGAAGACATGTAAAATTACCTACTATACTATAAATGTAATTTGGGTTAGGTACTAACACATAATACATGCATTAGATTAGAACAGATGAATGTGAATGTGGATAGTGGCCAGCTAAGTTATTATTTTTCTTTTTTATGTTTAGTCCTGATTCCATGTACCATAGCCCACAACATGACCAGAGAATTTCGTTATCTGACATTGAAGTAACAGTGAGCATTCAATGGTTTAATTAAATATTATAGATTTAATACTTTTTTTACAAATAACCCCATAGTATATTTGCTTTTAATAAAGAACAGTCATGTCTTTTTACTGAAAATAACTAACAACAGTACTGATTTCCTACAAGCCTATTGTTATGAGGTTTCCATTTTGTATCATTAGCAGTCTAATAAGAATCTATGTTGTTTTGATAATCCACAACAATCATATTTTTAAATATAAGTTTAAAATAGGTAATGTATTGTACATTAAAATTACAATTTTATGGTACATTTAAGTATTGAAGTATGATAATTAAGAGTATAATTAATGAAAACTTCAATTATTCAATTAAATGCCACAAGCATGGAAAAGGAAAACAATTTAAGCTCCGAATTCTAATTATCACGAAAACAACAAATTAATACCTATAAATTTTCTAAACATGAGTATAAATATATTCTAGAATATTAATAATAATTAACAACTAAATTGTAGTCAGTCAATAAAGCAACATCAAAAATAATATACCTCGAAAATAAAAATCGCAACCAGAAATTGTAATCCACAATAAAACCTTCAGATTGTAAATGTGCATAACTTTACATACCTATGATGAAACAGATGTAAAGACGGAAACTTAGAAAAAAGTGACACAAATTCTAATAAGATACTATTCAAAACTAAAAGTGGCACATAACAATTCTCTAGTTGTAAACCATATATCACAAAGCACAGCAGTTAATAAAAACATGAATAGCAGCAGTTCCTGTGGCATCAATTGATACAAATGTCAATGTCAATATAACAAGCAAGTAATACATGCAGTAGCATACTCATATGCACTCACCATTACGGTATGATGCTTTGGGTTGCATGTTAGAATGCTGGAGATCTAAAATGTCTTGCAAGGGTGATGAGTGTGTTTCGGGCGGTTGGAACATCTTCCACTGAGGATTGGACATTCTTGGCCTTCTGTAGCTTTCTTGAATACAGGTAGAAAGATTCAGTACCTAGGGTACCGATATATATCACAGAATGTTGTGTGGTGTTAAGTTTCCGTAGAGGTTACAAATTTTTACATCAAATCACATTTTCTTTTAGTCTTTTGTGTTCATTTGAACACTATGGAGTCTTTAACGTAAAAGTCACAATTTATACACCAAAACCACTAATGTTGCAAAATAAAAACTACTTATGATTATGTTATGCTAAATCCTCAGATGTCTTCAATGCTTGCTGAGTCGGAGCTCGTGGTACATTAGCTTGGATGAAGGTAGATTCGTATAACTCTGTTGCTATCTATACGTGTTTAACTCGATATTCACAAGCTGCAATAGACACTTTCGTTAGCCTCTATATTACAATCGTTACTACATCAAAGAACAAATCTTAATACTCCCAAATGCGTCCATTTACAACAAAGCGTTGCGTTGGATCATCGCTACATTTTAATATTAATATCTAGGTAGGCATCGCTCGTCCGATAGAACGAAACGAATACGATGGGTAAAAATTACAACGCCGTGGGACAAGGCTTAACTCATAAAGCTACTTCCGTTGGGGTGAACAGTATATCACATACGTGAAACGTGATCGTTAGGAGTTTTACTGACAGTAATCATTTGTATTTGAAAGCAAATAAATACAAAACTATAAAATAATCAAATCTCACCACGACACAGCATAGCACTGACGACATACCGCCATATTGAATGTCAACATTTATCACGACTTTGATCCAGCCCTACAAACTAGATTTTTTGTTAGAAATAAATAACCATATAAATATTGAAGATTATGCTATCAGAATAAATATATAAATTAGGATTTTTTGAAATTTTGTGTTTATTTTTTTGTCTATACTCGGAATTTTAATTCGATTCCAGATTTGACAATTTCAGTGTTGCAACGTTATGACAAGTACTAAATAGTGACGTTGCGAAATTATTCGATATGGAAATGCAATATTTCTGGATCGATTCTTCATGTTTATAATTTTATTCTCGTATACTAAGTATTTTTGGAAATTAAATATTTCTGAACCGATAAATTAGTTTTGACGAATAATTAACGATCTGAGACTTTTCTTTTATAATTGTGTGTGAAATAAATAAAAAAATGCAATCATGAAGGAACATGACAAATAAAATAGATAGATGTATTATGGTAATAAGTTATTTTGTAAATTGTTGCCGTCATCGCTATCGCTATCCTGTCACTTTCTGTAACATTTATTACAAAACACACACACTGATTGTTTATCGATTTTAGTGTTCATCACTACACTATTATATGTGGTATCATTATTTCACAAAATGACAGTAGCTATTGTCAAATCTGGAATCTAATTAAAATTCTGACTATAAAGGCGAAAATCTATCATATGGATTTGATTTTTCTCTATTTTATGGCCACCGAAAAGTTTGATGGCCGTAGTTATTGCTGATACAAAATTTGAAAATTGCAAAGTAGACTTTGTAAAGTCTTGAAAAAAAAAACAATTTGTGTGAATACAATATCTTTACCATTTTATTCATTAACGGGTCCTTTCATCGAATTAAATCAATTTGAATTTATTTACCAAGAAACCTAAGTATAGAAATAGACCTAAAAAGAATATTCCGAAATAAGTATTATAAATGTGCTTCATATTTGTATAATATTCTTACTCTACATTTTATCTAGAATTTAACCATTCAAATAGAATAAACACATTTATTCATTACTAATTATAAATTTCTACCAAAAGCTACTAACTGAATACTCTAGCAACATTCATACTCAAACGTCACTTTCGTAAAGTAAACTTGGAAAATAAACAAGATAAGTACAATACAAGTTCGATTGAATCGGTACTCCACTTCCACTACACAACGGAATTTGTAGTGGATATGAATATTACCAAACTATACCGGCTTCCAGCTTTTATTAACATCAATACAATCCAATTGTTATTTAGTACTTAATAAAAATATGGGTAGTATGGTACCTACTGATATCTTAAAATCCGTTCATTCAACTATGACTTTGATACATAATTTTTCTGTGAGTGTTTCATTATACCTATTTATTAATTTAAACCTTTTTAACCGTTGAATTTAAAATGAACGTTTATAATATAGGTAGGTACTCTACTCTATCTCTACTCGCGTCGCGTGGGCCACCGAATACTAGAGATAGCGTTTTTTACTGAACGGATAAATACTTAAACTGGATAAATACTTATCCATATATTTATATTTATCAATTTTGAGTACCTATTTAACCGGAAAACCGTCCTACCTAACTCCTACTATCGCAAAGAGTACATAGGTACAACCCACGTGTACAGCGCCACCCTCACATTCACGTGCACTGAAGACATCGGATAACTATAGAAATAAAATTATTCTTTAATGTATTATTTACACCACTACTAATTCAAATAAATAAAGGTACCTACTAATTCGTAACCATGACACCAATGTCTAAGTAATATTATATTTAACTTTAATGAAAGTACTATTTCATGAACGGATTTTTTTATCCACAAAATTCTAATAATATAAAGCAGGCGACTATAGGTACTAAAATTGCTAGTAATACCTACTTAATACCTACATAAATCTAATGAAATTGGTTTTTAAATAGTTTTTGATGTATAAATCGTAAACCTCCAACATTTCCGTCCATTATTGCTTCATAAAACAGACATTTGCCCTATAAAATAAGTATAGTGATGTTAAATTTGAAAAAGGTAGTCTAATTCATTGTAAAATTTACTGAGACCACATGGCATTTGTACTAATCGCTATCGCCTCACAGTCATGCAAGCGTATTAACATTTAACAGCGCCAGGAAGAATATCGTAGGTACCTATATCTGGAATGATGGGCAAGTGAATAATAATTCTCCGTTTTTTAGGTTTCTTCAAAACAATCTCGGAAAATTTCAAAAAATTTTGAAAATCTTACCTCCATAAGTGGAAAATATTTCAAACTGGAGTGATACAATATTTGGAGAATAGGATGGTCTCAACTATAAGCACTTTATAGCAAACAGTTTATAAAAATAATGTATATGTATAAAGTTAATAATTAAATAGTTGTAAAAGTATTTAACGAAAATTCGATGGTAATGCTAAAGACATTAATACGTTGTAGGTAGATATCTACTAGATACGAGTCAGATCAATACACTAGAACAGACTGTACAAACTAAATAGCCAATGATAGGACACATATGTTTTAACTACCTACAACCAGAAAATTATTCAGTTGACAATATTGTACAAGATATTTTTAGGTATACCCACATGATAAGCACCTAAGTAGGTACCTAATTTATAATTATTTAAGATTTCAATTCAAAACTCACTGTACCTAACATAACTGATACCTATGATAAAAAGCTCAAATTATTTTATAGTTATTCTTAGAATAGCTAACAAGAAACTAATTAAACTATTTATTAGGTACCTATTTATTTACTTTTATTATTTTATAAATGCTTTTAGCAATAGCGCCTAATTAAGTAAAATCGCAGGTTACTCACGTGAATATACTGAGAAAAGCTCTACTAGCTCACTCTGAGTGAGTTGTGACGACGTCGCCGCGACCGCGCACGCTGTTGATGAGAAAGAACCCTTCTGTGGTTCGAAACTAGTAGAGCTTTTCTCAGTATAGTATATTCACGTGAGTAACCCGCGTTTTTACTTAATTTAGCGCCTAATTATTGCAAGACTATCAGCTTCCCCCAAATAGGGATGGAAATTAAAATTTTCGCGTGGCAACTTCCCTCGAACTTATAATCGGTGGACAATAAAATATATTTTTCATTATTTTTTATGACACCGCATTCTCACACAATGTTGTTTATTTCATTTCGTCGTCATTTCACAACTTATACCTAATTCGTATATATCAAGTACCTACATTTTTAAATCATTTTTGAGTTCGGTTTACTTACTTAGATTTAGGAAAACGCGAATAAGACGGTTTCTGATATGGCTTTAGTACAATTGAACAAATACATATACTGGACTAAGCTATACGGAAGACCGATAAGTCGAAATATAATTTGAATTAGCTTGCCATTGTGCTTGGCGTTCGTGAACTATGAGATACGGCATTTGATGCGATCAACTCTTGGGCAGGTTCAGCCATTAGTGCTAGGTATACCGCTTCGAGGTTTTAAAATAGGTGTTAAAATGTTTCTGCTATAGACGTCCTATTATCATGATCCATTTTCATCGGCGTAGAGGCTGACTACGATCGATCTACTAGCTGCATAAAAACTTTCGACAGCTGATCATAACTGTCCAACTTCATCCACTCGTGCAGTTGCCCATGGACCTGCTAGAATCTTCTGAATGGTTATATCTACTGCTCTGGGTATTTTTATTTTTTTTTTTAAGGGGGGAAAATCATCGAATGACTGCTCCCGCCTGGGTGAGGCGGGAGGGAGTGTCAGACTCTTATTGACTAAAAACCACCCCGTTCCTTCTCCTGCACGTCGAGCCGGTGCCCCGGTTACCCGTTAGGTTCTCCGCGACTCCGAATCGGCATCGGCCGTATTGGGCCCCATCTGTTGTGGTCTGATGGCTCTTTGCGCTAGGTATAGCTATACACTAGTCCTACTACATACACTGATTCGTTTGTAGCATATTCATTTTCAGAAAGGAAGGCTTCACAAAAATTTATGCGACGTTTCAATAAAAAGTAGGTATGTTAGCTTCAAGATCGATTAAGCACCTGCAATATCTCTGGAGTTCAAGTAGGTGTCCTTACACAGAATACTTACGCTAAGTTTCGTTGCTACTTAATTAGGTAGGTAATATAAACTATACCTACCTGATAAAAAATATGTAATTAAATTAACTGCCTGTCTCCACATTAACAAAAATCAAGATAGACAATATATTAGTACATAGTATTATACATAGTAGTACATAGTATTAAACAAAGTCTCTATCCGCCAGACGGCGGATCTCTGTCTTTATATATGCTTAGATCTTTAAAACTACGCAACAGTTTTTGATGCGGTTGTTTTAGTAGATAGAGTGATTCTTAAGGAAGGTTTATATGTATAATACATACTATATATTGCATCCATGCGAAACCGGGGCTAGTAAGTTATAATTTGAGTAAAGTATACGAACCATTGAATCATAAAATACACATCAGATGATTAATGATAGCTAGTACGTACACTGCATGCTATGAAAGCTAGCTTGTAGGTACTTATTGTATGACTTTGATTGCAAGCATTTTACGTTAATAAATCCATTATCAGGTTTTCAAGCACGTATTTACATGAATGCTGCTGTTAAATATGACAGAACGGAATACAAAATTGAAGTTGAGTAGTTTTTCAATTACGAATTGTCCGGGAAATCGGACTTATTTCAGATATTTTATACCTAAGTGCATACTTACATCGTGTTTAATATTATGTAGGTACATTCAACTGAATAATATTGGATAATATTATATTGCTTTCAAGTCTTCACCAGAAGAAACTAAAAAAACGTGAATTAAGCGATTGCAATTTGCAATGCGAACACTAAAATTCTTCAATGCCAGAGTTCGGTTTGGGACGAGTAGCTAAACACTTTCGGATGTTGCAATACGGACACTACCTACCTAAGTAAAATTATTTCCGTGGCTGATGTTTGTTTAGTTCAAATGACTAAGTATTGTATGAAGACTAAGCCTCTTTTTCTAAAATCAAAATTGACTTCTAACCTATCAGTGGGTGGGTAACCTATCAGTAATAATAATAGTTATTTTTTGGTTTTTAGTTTTGACTTTCTGTTTGTTATTAGTTTTTGGTTTTTTAAACGCAGTTTATATTTTATTATTT